GTCTGTTCTTGAAATGTTGCTTATCAGTTACAGCAAACAGAACGGTGACCATCAAGGAAAAGGATCACTCTGGGCTACTTTCTGACCACAGAAGGCAGTGGACGCGGATCGCCAAGGGCCACCTGTATGTACACTGTGCTGTCTAGTTGCCATCCAATCGGAGCCAACGCCTGGCATCGCTGTGGGTGCAGAGTGGGACTCTGCTCTCGAGTTTCCAAAGCTGTGACTTCGCGGAATCAATCACAAAGACAATCTCCAAGACCTTGAGACCTCTAGCGGGCTGAACAGCCAACCTTCTGGCCAGCAGCCTACACTCAACCCTCTGCACCACCCAGGGACAGGAAATAAAAACAAAGTTGTTTAAAAAGTACAAATTTTTGGAAAACAATGTATTCCAACTTTGTAAATAAATCAGAGTAATAAAAAAAAGTACAAATTTCAGAATTTTTACAATACTGCATACCACTTTACATAAACTGTACACTACACATAGCCGAGGACCATAACGACAGGCATTTTGTCATTTAACAAATGAGTGAAGAGTTCTGAGGAGCACTAAACTTCCTATCATGATGGGCCATCTGCCAAAAGAAAAATTATCAAAATATAAAAATACTAGCTAATCAACGCTATGAGTCGCTATGAGATGGAAACGACTCAACGGCACATAACAACAACAACAATCAACTTTCTTGTATCTAAAGCTATCTAATACAATCTTTTTTAAAAGTATTTAGAAAACCCTCAAAAGCTCGACTTAACAGGTTTTAGACACATTCTGTCATACAAAACTTTTCTTCAACACACAATGCAAAAAATACTTTGATATTAAGCATTTCCAGAGCATGAAAGGAAAACTGCAGCTTAAAGAAGACAACTTTGTAGTGAGAAAACCTACCAACTTTTATATTACTCTTTTAATTTTTAACTCATTTACAGTTCTCATTTGAGAAAAACCAATTTCATTCTATGATTATAACTACAACTTTTCACACTTTTCTTACTGATATATTGACAAACAATTTTCATTTCTTGGGTAAGTTATTTTGGAAACAGTACAGGTTTTGTGGAAGACCAAAACCCTTTCTTCTCTTCTCTGATGGCGATTACCCACATCCCTAAGAGCAGTGCATAACGTTCTGGCCACTAATGAAAAGGCTGGACATTTATATCCACCCAGGGGAATGCACTCAAGGCCGGCAAGCCATGTCCTAACAACGAACCGCTGGCGCAGTTTTACTCTGATAATCAACCACACAGCTACCATTAGGTGGGATCAACTCAACAGCAACTGGTGCTTCTGTGGTGTGCTGGAGCCCGTTCTGGCACCAACAACCCAACAGGACAGAGCAGGACTGACCCACAGGGTATCCTAGGAAGGAATCTATCATGGGGAGAGCCAAAGCAGTATTCCCCAGGAAGTGACTGGGTGCATTTAATGAATCAGGAAAGGAAAGCATCGTTGACAAACGGTGCAGGGACAGTCAACTTTCACATGTAAAAGCATCATGACCCTAAGTCTTGTAAAAAACAACTAAAAAGGATCAACAACCTGAACAGAAGAGCTAAAACCATAGAAGTCTCCAGTAAATCTCACAACTTTGGATTTCATAACAGGTTCTTACATAAAAAAAGCACTGAGGCTGGAGGGGAATAACCCAAACTGGACATCAAAAGTAAACTCGTGCATCAAAGGACATTACCAAGAAAGTGAAAGAGACAACCTACAAATTCAAAGAATGTTCACAAATCATGTGAATATGGTTAACTATCAGCAACAGGTAAAAAACTCCGAGTTAAAGAAAAACACACCAAACCACCAAAAAAACAGTCCAATTTAGAAAATGTGGGGGGAAAAAACCCAAAACAACAAAAATAACTTGAATACTTATTTCTCAAAAAAAGATACACAAATGGTCAAGAAACAGAAAAAGATGCTGAACCATCTTTAGTCATTCATGAATGCAAATCAAAATCACTGTACGTCAATTCCTCCTCACTTGGGATAGCTGTCTGAAAAAATGGAAAATGATCTTGGCAAGGACATGGAGAAACTAGAGTCCTTTTGTACGGCTGGGGGGAATGTAAAATGATGCAGCTGCTATGGAAAATAGCTTGCACTTCTTCAAAAAGTTAAACACAGAACTCTGACATGGCTCAGTAATTCCACTCCTAGGTACATACCCCAAAGAAGTGAACGCAGGAATCGTAAGATACTTTCTCTCCAGTGTTCAGTGCAAAATCATTTTGATGGCGAGAAAAACTGTAGTACAGGCAGTCCCGGATTAGGACGGAACGCCTACTTATTTAAATTTTCCCTTTCTTTGAAACAGCTAAGCCAACTGCTATTCACAATAACCCTTCAGCACAATCATCTATATTTGCTACATGTGATGTTTTTAAGTAACTGAAAAGGTTTTGGGTTGCTGAGGTTTTATTTTTATCTCAAACAGAAGGCCATTTTTCTATCTGAATGGGTAGCAGTACAAACTTAGTATCTGATTTGGTTGAATTTAAAAAATTCAAGTTGATTCCAACTCAGTAATGCTCCTTCTTCTAAGTTTCCAAGGCGTAAATCTTTATAGGAGGATTCTTTTCCCAAGGAACTCAAACAAGGTGGGTTCAAACTACCAACCTTCTGGTTAGCAGTCAGACACATAATGCACTATGCCATCAGGCTCCTTAGTAGCAGCAATCAATGACTTGGCATCAATTTCCTGACAAATAACCTAACCAGCAGAGTACATTGCAGAGCTGCTAGCTCTCACACACTAGGTATGTTACCTGCAGGATTTCTAAAGATTGTTTAAAAAAATTAACTTTAGATCTATTCTGTTTACAGCTGACTTGTACAAATGACTCCTTACTATTTTTATTTTTAATTCAACAGTAGGAGTCTTTTTTATATTCATAAGACATATAATGTCCAAATCACTTGTACACAATCTATGCTGTATGCTTGTAATCTCTGGGTGACCAGCAAATAGTACTGTAAAACATCATTACTTTATAAAATTCTTCTCCACACTCTACTCCCACGACCATCAAGTCCTTTTTCTGAATTCCCTTACACTGATAGTTTCTCAGGGTAGAGCGTTTCTCTGGGGTCCCGGTGGCCCAGTGGGAAGGAGCTACACTGCCACCAGAACCCTTGGTTCAAATCCACCAGCTGCTCCGTGGGAGAATGAGGAGCGATCTCCCTCCTCCAGTAGGTTTTACTGCCTCTGCATCTGCTGCAGGGTCAGCTACGAGTGAGATCGTGCCGCCTCAACGGCATGCCGCAGACAGGGCAGGAAGCTAGCAGGGGCTGATAGGACAGAATCGCTGTCACATCACTCCATGCTGACTCTTCATCAGGTTTCCAAGGGTGTAAATCCATGGGAGGAAAACACCCATCTTTCTTTCTTGAAGCCACTGGTGGAATCAAACCTGCAGAGATGTGTGGCCTTTAAGTTAGCCGTGCCAACTCCCTGTGGACCAGGTCACTCAAGCTCCCCCTGTATTCCAACAGCACAGTATTCACTTAACATGAGGCACAACTGAAATTTTAGTATTATGAGCGCTAGTGCCCAAACATCTGAATTCAGGACACGGAGCTCCACTACCAACTCTATAACCTTGAGCAAATGATCAGCTCTTTACCTATTTTTTCCTCTAAAGTGGGAAGCTGTCTACCCTCAGTGTGTTATGAAGTCTCCAAGGGTAAAATCCACGTGATGAACAGTCTGTGGTGCATATTAAGAATGCAACTTATTGTCTCAGTGATGATTATTACAATGTGCGCTAAATGGTTAGTTTCATCATTTTTAGGTCTGTTTTTTTTTAATGCATCACTACTATCTAATTCCAAACACATTTCATCAAACTGAAAAGAAATCTTGAATTCATAAAGTCCCTCTGTACTCATTCCTCAAGTCCCTCGCAATCATTCATTTACTACAAATTTCTGTGGATTTGTCTCTTCTGAACATCTCACAGAAAGAAACACAATCACAGGATGTGGTCTTTTGAGTCTGGTTTCTTTCACTTACCATCAAGTTTTCAAGAGTCACCCATGTTATAGCCTATATCAATATTTCATTCCTTTTTACAGTGGAGTAGGATTATTCCATTGTATGGATATACCACACTTTGTTTCATTCCCCCGCTGATGGACCTTGGGTTGTCTTCATGTTTTAGCAATTATGAATGCTGCTGCTATGAACATTCACGCACAAGCTTTTGTGTGAACACATCAGTTCTCTTGGAGGAAATATGTAAGTGTGGAATTGCTGGGTTATAAAATAAAGACTTCTGTGTATAAGATTTTGGGGAAGTGTCAAAACTTTTTTGGCAAAGTTACTATCACTTTAAAATGGAATTTCTATTCAAGTAAGTAGACCTTATTTTTCTTTTTCTGAGAACACTATTTTAATGGAAGAGTAGTATTTTACCAAAACATTGGTTTCAAATCACAATTTTTCTGATTAATGAGTGTCTATTATAAAAAATAAGGTAAGATACTATCATTTGAAAGATTCTCACCCCCCCAAAATATTGTTTTAATACATGCAGAGAAAATATGTTTTCTAAATAAAATAGACCTGTGCTATTTGTGTATTACACAAAGTTGGGCTTTTAAAAACTTGTCAAAGTCTTTACTTAGAATGCAAAATTCCTTACAGTGATTAATCTAGACTTGAATAACATGTGATATAAAAGATAAAGATCATTTACGACCCGTACCCACAAAAAAAATGGCTGACAAATATAAAACCGGGCCTAGTTTTTACAACAGAACAAAAAGTACTCAAGAGAAAAAGTTGACAGCAAAGCATTTTAATGTAAAAAAGCCTAAACCTCCTTCATATAAGAAGCAAAAAAACCCCCAAAAAACAAAAAACAAAAAACCCGGCAGTTGTTTTCTTTGTTCATTTGTAACACAGCTCAAGAGGAGTATCTGGACATTCAACAGAACGGATGTACGAGAGCCCTCCGAGCCTGCCCGTCAAATCACTCACCGATGTAGACTCTCTTGCTGTATCTCTGCATCAGGAGTAACACAAACACGTGCAGTGGGATAAGGTTGATGATGAACACATAACCACCCCAGGCAGAGACCTACGAGGGGAAAAAGGCTCAATTACTTCCTATTTTTATCTTTTAATATAGTTTATTTTTCCTCATGATGATGACCTAAACATTACTGAGCAAATACAAAAGTACTTCTCTATTTTGGTAGTTTTAAGAAATGCTTAAATAAAAAACTATAGAAACCTCTTAATAAGCTATTTCTAATTTTTACTGACAATTAACTGAGAAAAAGCATGATTCCAAGTTTTTCTACCTACAGGGAAGACATTGTTCTAGTTAGATCCAAGAAGAAAATTGAAAATGCTTTAAAGTGTAAAATGGTAAGTTGAAAAGCTGTCATGAAGAAAGTTTAAGGATGCAGTTCATCAAGGTATTTTACTGAAAATCAGGTTCAATTTACCCACTTTTAGGATAAACACATTTCAAGAAACACTATTAAGAATAAAACCAATGTTAGCAAGCATCAACAGCTCCACTAAAATACTTAGATGATCAAGATACACTCTGAAGCAGCAATGACTTCCCACAAATATACTACAAAGGTCCAATTTAAATGTGGAGTCTGTATTATAAAGTTTGAATAATCCTATTTAATCAGAATCTTTGAAGATGCTGTGGCCTAACTTAGTAACAGATTACAAAGGAATGTTCATTTTCAGCCAACAGAATTTTTCTTTTTTTTTCCACTGTTTTTAGTAATAGGCAATACAATCTTGCCAAAAAACAGTTCTTAGTTATGCTATGCTAATTAAAGGTCTAGATCATTTGTACCAATAACCACCTCAGGACACTCACTATGTTGTTGTCCCAATAATAGAAATGTAATAGAAAATCTTACCATATAGAAATACGACAAGCAGCAGCACACTGTCCAAAAAACTGACCCAGTTTTTACAGATTTTACCTAAAAACAAAAATAAAGTAAGGGACAGGTCTGCAAATACTCCTGCTGAATTAAAAGAACCCAAGTCACATTAAATATTTAGTAAACCTGAGAGGGAAAAATCAAGAGTTGATTTTTGGTTTTTTTAAAAAAATAGACATGAAATAAAGCAATAACATGAAATAATTCATTCTAACAATGAAATGTTTTTCAAATCTACTTAAATATACACATATAACACAGGTCAGAGTTTACTTTTCACTCTTTTCGCCTAAAAGCTCCAGTAAACATGATCACCTTAATAACAATTTCTCCTTCATTTGTTACATATTCTATTTTTTAAAAAACTAAAACCGTAACTAAATATAAATGATTTTCATGGCATGCAAAAATTACTCAATTTTTTAAAATTCGTATTTTAATTTCCTTACAAAGGCCAATCATTTATTAGACTCCTATGGTTAACTCTTTGTAGAAAGTAAAATCAACAGTTCACTTGCTTCAGTTCAGACTTGTTCAGTAAATTCACATTTGCATAGGTTGGTTACTTAGATGCAAATCACCTTAATATAGAACTTTTCTCATTTACATATATGCTCATATATAACTCATGTATAATTTTAATTATGTATATCCATTGCTGAAAACTCCATTATATTGAAATTTATAGACACTATAATCCACACCTTAAAGGATATGTAACCTTAAAATAATTTTTAGAAGGCTTAATGATATAGAACTAAAATTCTCAATTTACTCAAAAGGAATCAAAGAAAATAAAGGATGACCAATGTTTGCTATTGTGTACCATCAAGCTGGAACTGACTCTTAGCCGACCCTCTGGCGGGTTTTCAGAAGCAGTTAATTACACAGGAGGAGACTGCCCATCTTTCACCTGCGGAGCAGCTGGTGGATTTGAACTGTGTGCCTTGGGGACTGCAGTGAAGCTTCTTGCCACTAGGCTACCAGAACACCAATGTCTATGTCCTTAAGAAAATCCAATAAAATAACCGATTTCCAAACATGTGCTTGGATGTGAAAAAAAAAAACCAAAATTACTACCATCTTAAAAGGAATTTTACATTCTAATAATGCAAATTTTAAATTCTTAAGTCAATGGAGTAAATCTTTAAGGTTAATTAAATAAGTGTATCCTAAAGAAGTAACAGCTATCTTTTTACATGTAATTTTCTATTCATAAAATTTTGTATAATTATTTTCTATTCTGCATCCTCACATGCAAGTTGAAATTTAAGTGTCTTTTAAAAAGCTGATTTCAAGTAACTCTACTTTTAAAATGTAACTGGTGAGTGATGGGCACTCTCCTCCCACATAATGTGGTGGTGGTCAGTACCATCGAGCTGACCACAAGAACCCTATGAACAAGAGATCTGACCTTGCCTTCTCCTCTTTCCAATAGTCCTGCATGTACCTTTCAACCCACTCAGAATTCCTTCTTTAAAGTGAAAATACTGCTTTAATTTTTCCCAAGGATGCTGGTGGGAAAGTGTAGGCAAGGAAGCTCTCTGGCCTCCAGTGCACACTCAGGACCAGTGGTGTGACATGTGGTCATCCAGTGGGGCCCAAAACACCACTGGCCACATTCTCAGCAATGACGCAGCCTTGAGCTGGTGATCATTCAGCAGCCTTCTTCACATGGGCATCTCCACTCCACAACTCTTCAGACCACCTGGCCCCACTGCACAGCCAGACCACAGCCTGCCTGCGGCCAGCCTTCCTCTGACACTCTAGGAGTGTGGCCTCCTGAGTGCCAAGCAGCTCCAGGCTGGCCCTGGCCCAGCAGAACAAGACATCTTGCCTTCTTCACTGATGTCCTTCCAATCTGTCCCTCCTTGGGCACGCTCTTTCAAGTCTTAGGACACTATGAAGGGTTGCTTGGTATCTTTTTTTTTTTTAATTTTGTATTTTTTTTTTTTTTTTTTTTTACAGAGGTTTTGGATTTCCATTCATTCATTGCCTCAATTTTCTCCCTTCCCACCCCTCCCCACTAGGTATCTTTTTTCTTTTTATCACATTAGTTGCTCCCCGCCCCCCCAGTGACAATCTGATATACAGATGACGGAACGTTGTTTGCTGGGGTGGGGGATGGAATATGATTTGAAGCATTTACTGATGAAAATTATAAACTACACACAGCCTTCAGTATGGAATATACATCAACATAAAACTCCTCCCAACTGGACAGGCAAACAGCATCATAGTAAGTGCAGACAAGATGCCACTGTCAAGGACTTTGTTCCACTTGGATTCACAATTGGTGCCCATGAGAGCATCAGCCGAGAAATTAAATGATGTATTACATGGGCAAATGTGCTGTTAAGAACTTTTACCATCAATAAACAAATGGAGAGAGAGTGATGCACTCACACAGTTGAACATTATGCAGTATTAAGGAACAGCCAACCCGTGAAGTATTAAGCAACATGGGCAAGTCTGCAGAACTCAGTCACAAGAAGATAAATATTGCAGATCAGTAACTGTGAAAATAGAGGGTGACTAAGGTTTGGGGGTGTGAGGAGGGATTGGGAGAAGTGGAACACACAGTCAATGAACACTGTAAATGATCAGGACAAAGGATCTGCCTAAGAAGTACTGATGAAAAACCAATATGGCTACTGAAAATGAGCAAATAGGAATAAGTTACATATAACTGCTCTGAAGGGATGTAGAAGCCGCAGAGGGAAAACAGTAATTCATTCTATGAAACACAATGTATATACATTTTAAAAAGCAGTGGTCAATAGTGTAAATGGGTGACATGGACCTGAATGTTCGAAAACAAGACAAAGAACCTCTCTGTCAAAGTGTTTAAGAGCAAGAATGTCACTTGGGGGCCCAAGGTCTGTCTGAGCAGAGCCAGAGCACTTCTAGTCACCTCACATGCACGTCAGAGTAGAGCAATGGATAAGAAGAGAGAGCAACAATCAACGCTTTTAAGATGTGACACTGCAAACTGCCAAAATAACAAACTTGTCCAGAACGAAATGCAATCCAAGTGCGCTCTGGAGGCCACGAATGGGGAGACTTCAAGCTCCCTCCTTCTTGGTCAACATTGTAAGAAAAGCCAGTCCCTGGAGGAGGACATCATACTTGGAAAAGAGGGTCAGTAAACCAGAGGAGGACCTGCAGCACTGGGTGGTCATCCTGCTGGGCGGCTGCCAAACAATTATACTCTTACAGAAAAAATCTAAATACTTTGTTACTTTTACCTCAAGTGAACCAAGACTGTTATTACAAGAAAATCAAGAGGAATTTTTTAAGTATTAAATACAGTTTATACTCTGAAATTTCTTGACTTTAAAACCAATTGTGTATATAGGCTGAGACAAATGAGAAATGGATTTATGTTGGAAGTCAAACGCTTCCAACAGACAGTGCAGGGCAGTAACTGGATCATCACATAATGTGAAAAGAAATTGTTTAAAAAAATCTCCAATATCTACTTCACACCATATAACAAAACCCCCTTAAAATGGATCCAGTGGATAAATATAAAAGATAAATCTTCATGACTTTAATGAAATTTCTAATTTAACTCTAAAATGTCACATAATCAAAGAAACAAATTACTGCATCAAAATAAAACTTTCATAAATCCAAAGGTATTATCAAAATATTGAAGACAAAAAAGTGACAGCTCACCAAATATTTGCAGATCATACAATTAGATAATGTTACTAACTAGAATATGTAAAGAATTCTTAAAAAATATCAATAATTAGTCAAACAAATTAAAAATGAATAAATTATATGAACATACATTTCTCTAGTAAAAATACACAGCAAGTCTCTAAGCACATGATCATTAAGAAAATATAAGATCACAATCCAATACTGCTTCATATCCACTTGGATAGATTATTATTTTAATATACATATATGCATAAAGGCATAGATTCACAAAACACAGGAAGTAAGTGCTGTTAAGATTGTCGATAGCCTACACACAGGGAGCTGATGTATGCTATTACCAGAGGAATTGTGGAATTGGAAGTTAGGAGGCTTAAATGGGGGTGATAGTCTGGATTTAAGAATGGTCTGGAATTAGAGAATCATGTGGTTAGAGAGTATAATGTTTTGTTACGTGAATTTTGTCTTCCTTTTGGTTAAACCTCACGGTGTTACAAAAGAAAATACTAAATTATATGGACAGCAAGCAGTTAGCTTCATTTCTTAAAAGTGCAATCTTAGAAATACATACAAAAGCACAGGGTACTTCTATCTAGTGACTTTTATCATTGTATGTATTTTTCTATAGACAAAATGTCTTTTTGATTATGTATTATTTTAAAACTTATTACAGAATATTTCAAAGAATACAGAACAGTCAAGGGTCTAGTCATCCAAATATATAAATGCTAATATATTTACATTAGATGATCCTGTTCTTATGTGCTGTCAAGTCAACTACAACTCTCAGCAATCCTGTGATAACAGATCTGAACCTCGTCCTATCCTGTGCCAACCTCAACTTCTCTGATACACTGCGGCCTGATGTTAGAGTCACCGTGTCAATCCACCTGGTGGAGGGTCTTCAGCTCCACCTTTCTCAGCATCTCTTTTCCCAAGGACCATCTCCTCCTGATGATAAAGTATGTGCGATCAAGTGTCAGCATCACTGCCTCTAAGGAGCACCGATTTGTTTGGGTTTTTTACACTGAATGGGAATATTCAATACCCTTCAACATCACAATTTAAAGCCACCTGTAGTTTCATAAATTTTTTTTTGCTGACTTAAACAACAAGAGCAACAGCAGCAATATCCTGTTTGCTGTCACCTTCATCTCCACAAGTGCTTTTCTTTCAAATGCAAGAGTAAGCCATTCTTTACTGACTGACCTCAATAGTCCCCTCTGAAACTCCTTGCCAAGCAAAAGTATCCACTAGACCCGCCAGCCACAGGGAAACCTTTTGTTTAACACAGCAACACCCCATGGATTATGCTACCAGAGCCCCCCTAAAGATATACTTCCTGAATACATTAAAAAGTATTGATCTATGTAAAATGTTGACAATTCCCAGCCTCCCCCTACCAAAAAAGAAGCATGAAGACAAAAACTAAGGTTCGAATAACAAATTAATCCAAGTTTTAAAAGTTGAACTTAGCAATAAGTAATTTTACAATTTTCCATGTAAAAATAACAAAATTAGCCTTTAAATGACTTGGTAGAAGAAAAATAAGCAAGAATGCTAGTTATGAAGCCAAATTTGAGATCTCAAGCCACTGGACAACACTTCAACTTCCCCTCTCTCTTAGGAAACATCAACAGCTTGTCTTTGGATATTTTTTTTTTACTATTTAACTTAAAAAATAAGGATATTATGATCTATACAATTACACTTATCAGAAAATATGTCAATATATTGACATATACATCAATATGTCAAAATATTTTTGCTTATCTTCCACCTATCTATAGAACTATAAACACTATGTCAAAGCCAGACATTTTGAAATTTTACTAAGTAATAGTTTTTACAAAGAGTAACAACAGATCACTTTCTGCAATGCTAAGTGACAACAACATATGGTGCTAACTTTCCCCTCCAGGTCCCTAAGACAACCAACAGTATCTCAGGAGAAAGGTCATGGGTATTCATGGTAACAAAACATTCAATGTTACTTACTTACCCACAAGTAGTATGTGAACTGAAGTGCAAAAATTGCGATGCCTTCATTATCAAAGGATCCAGCTACTGAGCGAGATATGTAACCTGGTACAATAGCAATGAAACAAGCAGCTAAAAGTCCTGCTCCTTGGTTCCAAAGTTCTCTCGTCAGCAGGAAAGTAGATATAGAGGTAAGGCCGCTAAAGGTGGGTGCAAGGAACACACAGACATCCCTTATATGGACTGTTATGTTCAATGTATTTAAAATCCAGTGAATAAGGCCAGCTGTTATCATCAATCCTGGGTAAACCTAGAAAGGAGGAAGGAGAGAAGGGAACTTTAATCACTACACACATATAAGATAAAGTACCTAAAAATACTACCATCATCAGCTCTCTTCATTATTACGCAGTCTTTATATTGGGTTTGAGAACAAGATCTCATACCTGTTTACCTTTCCATACTACAAATGAGACGCCCATTTTGTATTATATATTAAAGAAAAATGTCAGAGACAGCAAAGGAAAAAGATCAGACATTCCTGCATTTTGCTTTTCACCACAAAACAGGGTCTAGTGTCCTTTACACATACTTGTATGTGTAAAAGGAAAAAAGGGCAAAAGACAAGGAAATCTGAGGTTGAAAAAAATGAGTGATGGAGTATCGATAAATCAGTGTCCCCTCTTTTCAAGCTCAAGATTCAGAAAAAGAAAAAAGAACCAGGGAGTCAGTAAAATTGAAAAAAAAAATAAAAATGGAAGAGTGGAAGTCCTTCTATTGCCTAAGATGTGGAGGGATGATGTTTAGGGAAAGGAAGCCAAATACACTGGAAAAGAGTCAGTTACACTCCTTACAGTAAACTTCACCGAGGAACGGAAAACAGAGTACTCAAAGAACAGTCCATGGAGCCTTCTTTTTAAATTAATCCTCAGTGACAAATGTGCATTTAATCTATACCCTTAGTTAAATCCTCAAAGAGCCTCTTCGTCTGCTACAAAGATAATGCTATATATATATATATAGTTCCTTTACCACTTGGTGCCAGTTAAAACTGCAAATTCCTCACAGTCTTAGCCGACCTCCCTGACTTTTTTTTTATTCTCTTAACACTATTTCACTCCTTTCTATACTTTAAAGGCCCACCACCTCCATTAGACTATAAACTCTAGAAAAAGTAGGATATCTTCCCCTGCATTGAGAATAGCGAAAATACAGTAATTTTTTAAAATGAAAATTTTGTTCTATTTCAGTCAATACCAGGTCTTAGCATATGATTCTGTCAGTAACCATTTAAAGAAAATAGAATGAATTTTAATGTACTTCTCAGGGTAAGCCAATATTTCCATGCAGTATGGCAGACTGAGCGGACATGTCAGAATATATTAGATAGAAATACTGAGGAAAGAACCTTGTGTACCAAAGAAGGCACAGTATACTCAAAAGAAAGGGAGCTCAAGAGACACCAACAATGAAGAGGAAATCCAAAGTAGTACTGATGCCAAGGAACCCCACAAGTAATGAGAAGACAGGGGGGAAAACAACCCCTAACTCATACAGACATGCTTAGGGACAGCAGACTAGCTTATTATCACCTAGAAACGATCACAGACCGAATGGCTGCTTTCCTGGCTATCCTAAGTATGAGACTGACGTCATCGGGTGCTACTGAGTCAACTTCAATTCAGAAAACTGTGTGATCGTGTGTCAGCCTCACAATTTCGGATGTGCTTAAGCCCATGTTACAAGCACAGAGTCGTCAACCCACTGAGAATCTTCCTCTCCTTCTCTGACCGTCTACTTTTCCAGGATCTGTCCATCTTGATGAGGGTCTCACCTGCCTTTTTTCTATTCTAATGAGCACTTCTTCCAAGACAGCTGTCTGTTCTTTTGACAGTCCAACACCACAACTCAAAGAGCTTTTCTGTGGTCTTCCATGTCCAATTTATGCTTCCAGGAAGTAAATAGAAACACCATAGCTTAGGTCAGTCAGGCACACGTCAAGTCTTCAACCAGACTGAAGTCTTACTCTTTAGCATTTAAAAAAGTCCTTGAAACAGGTTCAGTGGAGCATGTCATTGAGCTCTTCACTGCTACTACCTTGGTGTTAACTGTAGATACAAGTAAATCTTTACCAAGTGTAATTTTTCCTTTATTTACCATGATGTTGACTTATTGGTCCAGTTTTAAGACTTCTGTTTTCTTGATAGTAAGGTGTAACCCACAGTGAAGGCTTTGATCTTTTCCTGTAAGAGCTTCCACCTCTGCTCCCAGCAAACATGGCTATGTCATCTGCACACAGCATGGTGCTGAGGAGTCTTCTTCCAATCCTGATGCCACTTTGTCTTCATAGAGTCCAGCTTCCGGAATGACCAGCTTAGCACACAAATGGAACAGGTATCCTGCTGTAACCATTCCAGATTGGAAACCATGTAAGGATTTCCCTGTTCTGCCTGAACAATCACTTCAGGTGTCAAATGAGCACAACTAAAGTGTTCTGGAATCCTCATTAAAACTCATTCACAGCAGCCAAAATACCTTCAAGACATTCTACCTGAACTTAGGAATCATCTCAAGTCAGATGTGATGCACTGCATATTAACAATCAAAGATTAGATGAGTTATGAGAGTACATCAAGAGGATCATACATGAAGAAAGCAAAAGGTCATTAAAAAGGTAGAGGAGAAAGACAAGAACAAAATGGATACAAGAAGAGAAACTTGCTGCAGAGTGTTTGTTAGAGGAAACTGAGTTAACTACAATTCATCCTGGCCCTCTGAACACACAGACTGCAAGCTTGCCGCATCCTGCGCTGTCCCCGAGTCACTGTCAGTTCATCGGGTTGGGGGACCTTCCTCTCGCTGTGATTCTCCATCTTTCCAGCAAGTGGCCCTCCTGACAACATGCTCCAAGTCCCACCATCCTTGCCTCTACCCAGCATCTTGATTGCACTTCCTCTAAGATGCGCTAGTTGGTTCTGTAGGTGGTCCATGGGATATTCAGTACTCATCAAAAGCACGATCTAACAATAGTAATTCTTCTTTGGTCATCCAAAGAAGTTAAGTGAGAAGAAAAAACAGTACCTTAAAGGTAACTTGAGACAAAACAAAGTATGCTAATGAAATGTGTAAAAACCTGGTAGTAAAAAAAAAAAGGAAATTTTCTTTAAGAATGGAAGTAGTAATATAGAGTCACTGTACCAAAAAGAATTGGTCAATACAGAATTAATTCAGGATTATATGAATTGTATCAAGAACCAACGATAGTGAAGGACCAGTGTCACTAAGCCTCCAGGCTACACTGAAGACACTGGCAAAAAATTAGGCTCTTGAAATTGATGGACCATTAAATGACTGTGCCCTTTCAAAAAAAGAGTGAACCAAAAGAAGGTGATATTATCAAAATATTATCTGGAAATAAATAATAAAAGATTATTCAAGACGAGCTGGAGCAGTAAATTGACAGGAAACTGCCAGAAATTCAAGACAGATTCAGAAGAGGTTATGGAATGGGGAAACGTTACTGCCTCTGAAAACCTGCTAAAGGGTCAGCTTTGGTTTGGCTGGTTCCAATTTTTTTTTCTCTATAATTATATTTTATTAATTTTCATAAACATTTACAGAGATTTTGGGCTTCCACTCATTCAACGTCTTTGCAATTTAAGCGATGCCACCATCATTCGCAAATGCACTTCAGCTCTGGAAGCACCCCAAGGAAGCTGCGACTGCTAAGCAGAAGGCAGCGTATGCTGATGCATGTGCTCTGCCAGAAAGCAGTGCTTGCAGAGAGGAGAATCTGAGCTCTGCTGGAACCAAACTCCTGAGCTGGGCAGGGCTCTCCAAGCCACGCAGGCAGCTTCAGAAAAAGACTGATGAGTGCTGTTCTTGCAGTTCTCTCCTATGACTGATGATTCATAGAGGAGCAGTGACATTGGCCTCAAAGGGCAGCCAGCCAATTGTTGTCTAGGGCAAAGGCACAAAAAAGCAAAGTTAAATTCATATCCTGGGTCTGGTTGTCAAGTTGAGTAATGACTCGTTGCAACTCTATAAACAACAGACCGGACCCTGTCCTATCCTGTGTCATCATCATAATATCTGACATACTTATGCCATTGCCATGCCAATCTGCCTCATAGATCTTCCTCTCTTTTGCTGACCCTTCATCTTTCCAAGTATGTTGTCCCAATTTCATTGTCTCTGACACACCTACCTTCATTACCCCAGTCATTGAGTCAGTCCATCTCTTTCAGAGTCTTCCTCTCTTGTGTTGTCTCTCCACCTTCCCAAGCATGATATCCCTCTCCAAGAACTAGTAACTCCTTGAAACATGCCCAAAGTATGTCAGACGGAGTTTCAAAATCCTTGCCTCCAAGGAATAGACTGGTTTTACTCTCTCCAGGATGGACCTGTTTATTCTTTTAACAGTCCATATTCAATACTCTTCTCCAGCACCACAACTCAAAAGCATCAATTCTTCATCTATCATCCTTAGTCATTGAAACCTATACTTGGAGCAGGAGGCAGTCATTATAACAGAGCAAGGAAACAAACATTGCATCATTCAAAATGAGGAAAGGTGTACACCAGGGATGCATCCAATCTCCATACCATTTCAATCTATATGTGGAACAGATCATCCAGGACGTTGGGCTCTATGAAGAGGGATGTACAATCAGAAGTGGAGGAAGACTCATCAATAATCTGGGTTATGCAGATGATACAATGTTGCTTGCCAAAAATAAGGATGATCTTAGACATTTACAGCAAAAGGTCAAGGACTGAAGCTCAGCATCAAGAAAACAAAGACTCTCACCACGGGGTTGATTGGCAGCATCGTGATAGATTGTGAAGAGACTGAGATTGTTAACAGCTTCAGTTTACTTGGCTCCACAATCAATATTCTCTATACCAGCAGCCATGAAAGAAAAAGTTTAATTATATTCAGAAAATCTGCTGTCAGGGACCTCTACAGAGTACTGAAGAACAAGGTGCCAGTCAGAGACTAAATGTGCCTGATCCAGGCCATGATTTTCTCAACTACTTGCTATGTATCAGAGAGATGGACAATGACTAAAGATGTTAGAAGGGAACATTGTTGTTGTTGTTGTTGTTGTTAAGTGTCGTCGAGTCGCAGGCGACTCATAGCAACCCTATGAAGGAGAGTCCTTCACGCTTGGATGCCTTTCATCCTCTCTCCAAGTTCATAGGGTTTCCGGAGGCAAGCTATTATGGAAGTGGACGCCACTCCTCCTTCCACGCTTGTTCAGTCGGGGAGCTCCACCCCACTCTCAGTCCACATTGGGTAGTCAACCATTAACGCATTTGACACATCCGTGTCACAGTGTTCAGCCTCACAGCAACC